GCACTAAAACACCCTGTAAACTGACCAAGTATGTAGCGATAGTGTACCAGGCTAGCGTCCCTTTTTTTGTGGAATAGCTTCCTACAAGTCGCTCTTGTATCTATTGGTGGCCTGGCTACAAGATCTGAATCTGAGTGCAAAATGAAGAAGGGAAAAAATTGAGTGTGTTTCAGTTTAAATAATAATGCATTGTGTGATAGAACCGCCTAATTTATACAAGATCAAGTACGGTTGTCTCCGCTAACACGTTGACACGCACATACTTTCACTCATATAAACCCGGTAGTCCACCGAGTGTCACGAAGGACCTCGGTAAATCAACATCACAACCAAGATCGCGTGATTAAGCAAATACACATCACATACGCAGAGTTGCAGCGGAAATAATATTACAAATCGGTTCACAAATAATAGTACAAGTTTAGGTTTCAAAACTGATTAGTGAAAACAACGTAGCTTTCAAATGATTACATTAATATAAGTTTCAAATACATTGCTAGCATAAGTGACATCCTCTGATAAAAGCATATAGATGAGAACTAAATATAGAGTCACCAAGCCCACCGACGGTTAACTACCATCTTCAGTAGGCTGAGAACTTCACCTGTAACATGGCGGGATAAACCCTGAGTACTCGAAAGTACTCAGCTAGACTTACCCGTCATAAACCAGAAATAAAGTGACACCAAGGAGTATGCAAGGCTTTATAAGTGGAGCTAGCTTGACAACATTTTGCATAAAAGCCAAGAGTTGAGCTATACATTTTTATAATTCAGTAACCAAGTTAATTATAATTATTCATCTCTAGATTAGCAACTCACCTATGCCAAACATGTGGAATATCATTTAATAACAGGCAATAGTAACCATAGTCGGTGTAGTAATGTGAATATCATCAACATAACCATCAAGTTTCTATTAAGTTACTCTACGTCGTCGCTGCTCAGTCAAGTTCTCACTATTCGGGAGAGACGGCGATTCGAATCGAATCCTACCCAGCTGGGGAATTATTCCTAATACACACCCAATCAACATGATCAGTGGTTGCCTCGGGTCACCTTTGGTACAGCTCAGGAACAAATTCGCGGGTCCGAGCAGCGCCGCACTCTCAGGGAATCCACTCTGCCAGGAGGTCAATCTCACATTTGGACTTATGCCAATGGCTCCCCGCACATCCTTACTACGGCCAGAGTGCGCACTTTCACTTCCCGGCTTCTGGCCTGAGCTGAGCTACTCGACTTCGCGGTCGGAACAAGTTATCCAGCCAACTAAGTGATAGGCATGCGTTCAACATGACATGAGGACGTAAGACTTTTCCTATGGACACCATTGATAGGCCTACACCGTGTGCTATGCACATTCCTTACAATAGGAAGGGGAAGACGATGCAGGTATCCACTAGAACTGCTTATCTAGGACGCTCTGTGCATGGCAATATACATCCGGAGGATTATGCGAGGGTTGAAGTTTTCTTGGTTTCTCTGAATCATCTCGAGTGTGAAGTTGAGATCCCTGCTCCTGATGGTCAGTTAGTCTTGGGCAATCTTGTATGCTATTACATTGCTTGGCAACGACGAGACATTGTTGTGTGAACCACCCCGTCGGATGGACCTTCTACCCCGTATCAGCAATTGACTCAGGTAGAGGAACAAGCAGAAATAGTCCCCACGGGCGAAGCAGGTGCGCGGTTGTCACCGACATATTATCAGCAGATGGAATCATTCGTGGAGGATACAGCAGCCCAGCCAAACCCAAGTTACGACTTCTCCTATGAAGAATTCATGGAAGATGTCATCGCAGGAAGGAAATTACAAAAAGATCGGGAAATAGGCACTACAAGTCCCACATGCGGCAATGAAGATGCACATCAGGATCAGACGCAAGCAGGAACACAACAAGTGTTAGGGGAGGTGTTCTGTCACCACCGCCACCCACACCGCTACCGTCACCGCCACCCCAACTAGCACCGCTTCTGTAGGCACAAATTGTTGCGCCACCACCACCATAGCCACCACCATCACCGCCACAGACACCACAGCGTCCGCCTGCGCCACCACCGCCACACACATTGCAGCCACAAACGACTGTGCCGCCGCCGCCACCACCACCTCAGCCACAAATGGTTCCTAAGATGGTGAGAGGATTTGAGAAGGGTAGCAACCTGCTGGATGCTGGCGTATCTGCGATGTTTAGGTGTCTTGGCAAAAAGAACCCCAAGGAAGCTTCTGCAATCAAGGGAAAGGGGGTTGCATTGTCTACTCCAAATGCCAACAAGGCCATCAAGGCCATGGAAGGATCTGCAACAATCTTTGGTGGCCAACACCGTTTGAGCAAAACCCTGATGAGCGTTGAATTCGTTAAAGAGATGATAGATCAAAACAATACCGAGTGCCCCTATGATTACGTGCTAGGCAAGGAATTCCTACCAAATTTTGCCCTAGAATGCAACAAGAGATTGTCGCACATGAGGGTATTTCAGAAGTAGTATTTGCAAGCGGTCCAACTCGGCTTAGAGGGAGTGCTAGTGTCTTACCCAGCTGATGACATATTTGCTACCAGTGTATAATTTCAGAAATTGAACATACCTTTGAAGGACATTCAATTTTTATTCCGCCAGAAGAGACTCGAACTGAGTCAGATTACCCTGTGGTGCATGTAAGTAGTGTCTGCTTAAACTCATCGTCAAATTTGGTTATATGTGAATTGTGTTATCCTTTTAACCACACATGTCGTACTTTCATGTAGCAAAGAGTGGATGGATGCGGCCAAGTTGAACGTGAGGAACGCGTACCTTGACCCAAATCTCATTTGTGAGGCAAGTCATGCTAGACCTCTATTGTGGCCAAATAGTTATCCTGCATTTACGGGTGCCAAGGGCCAGGAGAGAGAAGCAATTAGGAACGTTGCGCACAACGAAGCAAGGAATGTCGCTGCAATATATATCGGGAAGGTGTTCTGAGCTCATCAGAGATTCCAATACATAGAAGCCCCGTACAATTTCGGGTAACATCGACTACTATCTTTTTTCATGTTATTATTTGGTAGATGGTTTACATTGACACCATTATATTTTTTGTACTAATTTAGCGACCACTTCATCTTAGCAACCATCAATTTGAGAGTTGGCAGGATAACCATCTATGACTCTATGAAAAAAGATAGCAAAACGTACCAAAATTTTCTCAGCGTATTACAAACGTAAGTAATTATAGTTTATTACTTGTGACACTAATTTTTCATCCGATTATTGTTATAGTGAAAGTGATTAGTTTGTTCATTAAACAATGCCTCCAGATATTACGTTAGAAAAGGTGGACCTCATGACCCAAGTAAGCAGGATAGGATGACTGTTTCTCTACATCAATGGGTACAACCATTTTCGAACTCAAATAGCAAGAATATTGATTATATAGAACAATGTGTTTCACTGTATTGTTTTTTTTTTTTTTGCATGTCACCGACCTGCAATGCTCGAGGTAGCCTATCGGAAGTGTGCTTTGTGGCTACTATGTATGTCAATGGATGAGAACGAACGGGTGTTACTACAATCACCCTAAAGAGGTAAGTCGATCTATCGAACCATATCATATGCATATGTTCATTAATATGAATGTAGCTAATTGTGCCCCTTTTGTTTTGTGCAGCATGAACAGTTTAGGCCAAACAAAGTATTTACCCAAAACGATATTTAAGAATATCAAGATGATTTCTGCAAGTTCTTGATGCGGGAGGTTCTTAAACCAGGGCGCTTATTCTTTGATCCTGATTCGGAGTATGCCACACATCCTAAGTTTGAATCTCTTTGCGCTGCATACGAGCAACCCTTCTTTTCATTTTTTTGGGCAGAAGAACAATTAATGTTACTTTGTAGTTTGAATGTATTTGAAATTGTGCTACAAATACTTTGTTGATCATGTGTGTATTAGTTAACTCTGACTCGGTACTATGTATATATGAAGTTAATTTGAATCAATTGCAATCGGCTCTGAAATTTGCTAGGAAAACAGGATTTCAAATATTGCAGAAAATTTTAAATTCAAAAAGTTTAAAACGGATTTTCAAAGGCGGTTCATTGAACTGCACTTGCAAATGCATTTTCAGAGGCTGTTGCGTTGCAGCGGCCGTCCTTGAATAAAACATTTTCAAGGGCGGTTGCAGTGCAGCAACCGCCACTGAAAAATATTTTACAGGGGTGGTGTTCTTACTGCAACCGCCCCTAAAAAAGGATTTTTAGAGGCGGTTGTCTTACTGCAACTGTCCCTGAAAATGCTATTTTCAGGAGCAGATATCCTAATGGAACCGCTCCTAGAAATGTATTTTCAGGAATGGTTAAAAGTCGTTGCTGAAAACACCTTATCTTTACAATCAGTGGCACTGTATTGTTTTTTTACAACCACCCCTGAAAACCCATTTTAACCGCCCCTAAAAAACTTTTTTTGTACTGGTGGAGTCTAATTTTATATATGCCTGTGGACTGCAAGTTAGCGTCACCATTTCTATAAGAGGCCGCTTGGATCCTTTCATTTGGAGGGTTTGAAATCTACTTAATAAATTAGACTATTTGCCTTGAAATTTAACATTTCACCACTTTACAAACTTCACATATAAGCCTATCTCAAATTCATAGGGTGAGAGATGGAAATTGATTCTATAGATTACCATTTTATGTTTTTTACTTTGCAACTAATAACATGCTCTTGAACTCGCTCTCCTACGGTAGAAATGCAATACATAAGTATCTCTCTCGTATAGCCAACAATAATATACACATATAATCTATATAAAACCATATTAGTTTAACTAATATATGTCTAAATTATGATTATTATCCAAACGGGGCCTAAGAGTTACAATTGGTTCAGACTTAAGAGTCTCACACGAGTTCCAGTTTCGGATCGGATACTGTTTGAAGTCCAATTATAAAGCACATCGATTATATAACTAAACTGATTTCAAATCCACGGCATTACGATTTGATCTGCATCACATTCACATACACAATGTTACGGAAGTTATTCGGCTGGCTTGCCAAATCCACGAACGCACCATCTCTTGGATCGCCGCGAGACGTGGATGTCGTGGACACATGGGCATCGCTACCGACTGACCTCCTCCTGGAGATCGTCCTCCGCATGGAGGACACCACCGTAGTCCGCTGCGCCTGTGTGTGCAAGCCCTGGCGGCGCGCCATCATCGGCAACGCCGCGAGCCTCCGTCGTCGTCCTCACCACGACCGCTTCGATCCCAGCCTGCTCCTTGGCGTCTTCCACGTGAACAGCGACGAAACGTGGCTGCGGCGCACTCCGGATCCGTCGCCGTTCCAATCAGCGCTCCCATCAAACGGCAGCGGCGGCCACGAGACGGTCGAGTCCTTCGTACCGGCCGCATCCGCCTCCGCCGCCGGCGCCATCAGAGGTTTGTACTCCGAGCTATTGTCCTCCCGTGACGGGTACATCCTGCTAAAAGCACGCATAGTGGATAGGCTTTGCCTGTGCAACCCCATCACGGGAGTCTGCACGTTTTTCCACCCACCTGCACCATATGCGGACTGCGTGTACGTCTTGCTCACCACCGGCCACGACGACCTTTCGCCGTCTGGCGCCGCCATGAACGACGACTTGGCGGTGCGGATACTTGCCGTGAAAAGGACATACAATTCTGTCTCTAACGAGGAAACAGAAAGACTGACCTACCAGGTCTTCTCCACCTCCGGCTCCGGTGACGGCACTGCTGGGATGTGGGGGCCAGTCAAGCGCTCTCTCGGGGAGATGGAGCAGGCTGTGTGCCCGTGGATAGGACGCCGCAGCACGCTGGTCAGCCGTGGCGCCGTCTACTGGCTTGCCGGGCGTGGAGGTCATTGCTACATCACAGGGACGCTCGCCCTTGATGTGCACACTGGCCGGACATGGACCACCGAGCTGCCCAAGCAATGCTTTGGCAGTACTGGCGGCATTGGCAACGACGACGGAGAAGAAGAACCTATCCTGGCAACGTCCAGGGATGGCCGCCTGTCCCTGATACGGTCGCTGCGAGGCCCCCAGATCCAAGTGTGGGTGCTGATGAATGATGATGTCACTCAATGGACTCTGCAGCACACGATATCAATCCAAGTGCAGAATCTGCTGCCATGTTGCCCGGACCAAGACATCCCACGCTACATCAACAAGTTGACCTACCTGAGTGCCTTTTGCCCAAAGAGCGGGTGCGTGATCGGCATGTGGTTGGACAAGCTGCTCCTCATCGACGTCGAGAGCAGTTCGCAATCACCTATTCGGTGCATGGGCAACTGCCATGAATCATATGAATGCTGCCCGTACGAGATGGATTGCTCATTAACTTACGTCTCAAAGATGAAGCACTTCTAAGCACCTGTTGGTTTGGCCTCACTATTATAAATGGCAACAATAATAAGAAACTTAGAACCTGTTTGGATCTGGAGTTCTGGACTGGATTATTATATCTACGTTATGCATAAGATTATTATAGTCGGTGTTATGGATTATAATAATTAGACCGTTTGGGTCCCAGTATTATGTTGATTCATTATGGTTGGTTAATGTGAGAAATTCCTATCACATCCATGGGCCATGGGATCCATTAATTAGCATCGCCAACCGGTAGGTGAGCAGCAGTTGTTCCATCCAAGCGCACCAGGAAGGTTGGAAGCCTCATGCTTTCAGGATCGTTAGTAAGCTAGCTATCCCCGTTCACCGACTTTGGCCGCGTTTGGTTCCGCTCCGCCTGCGAATGTCCCTTAGTGGCCACTGCAGCAGCTCCGGCTCCAGCAGCTCCGCCAGTGTTTGGGGATCCGGCCCTTTTTATGAAGATGGGAACGATCCGGTAATCCTAGGAGAGCGAGCTAGCTCCATAAGGGGTCGTTCGGTTAGGGGTCAGGAACCATTCCATCTGATCAATTGTTATACAAATTATTGTTATATATACAAATTAGTCAATCATTCCAGTTAGGAACCGATCGTTCCAGTGAACTGTTCTTAGACAACCGAACAAGCCATAATGAATCTTAGCCTGTGAAGATTGTCAAAACATAAGCTTGTGAGATATAGCCCACTCCTAATTTCAGACCGGTTAATATTCTAGGAGAAGTACAGGCAAGGGAACAAGATCCTATATGAATGAAATAATAAACGTATTTAGAATAGGAGTACTCTTAGAATATCTTAATTAGTCCAACAAGCAAGTCCATTTTAGTTTTTTAACTAATGAGGTATATGATCGGCCATCATATTAGCAATATAAACTTAGTGCACAAAAACAATGAAAGTGTAGCTTAGTAACTAGACTGTTTTTCATTAGTTAAAAGAGAAATAAATTGAATTAATAGGCATCCAAATTTAAGCTATGAGAGGGTTTGAACCTAGATGGTTGGGTGCACGACCACGACCACACCTCTTATAACAAATGCAATATGTGCATTTGTAACTCATGTAAATCTTTTCTTTTATGTTTTTATGACAATGGCTTGAAAGTCTGGGGTCCCCATGCATCGATCGGCTAACCAAACCCAAAGCTGCAACTCAATCATCCCACTGGCCACCATAGGAAATAACGAATGAGGGACCCAAAATCTCACCATCCATGCACGGGCACCAACGGGCAGTGGCGGAGGAAGCAATTAAATTAAGGTATGGTGAAATGCCGAACTAGATAATATAGCTACTTAGGTAGTGTAAGATGTAAAACTAAGCTATAATACGTTTAACCTGTGCATCGGGTTCCATCTCTTCGATCTTGGCTGCCACGTCATTTTCAATCTCCATTGCTGCCTGTCCGAGTGCCATGACATTTTCCATCTCCTCTTCAATTGCGGCCATAGCCTCTTCATGGATCCACGGAGAGATTAGGGATAGATCGATTGGAACTCAGGAAGGCACGATGCCATGACGGCCAAGCGCAGGACGACGGGTTGTAGCCTCAATGCAGCGCGAAGGGTACATGAAACGTCGGCACATGTACCGGTTCAGCTATCAACAAATATACATTCAAAGTTTCAGACGTCATGTTCTTCTTCTTCAGAGCACTTCAGAGTAGCAGCTCGCGATCCCTTCAAAGTCTTCATGGTAGAGGGTGATTTAGAGGGGAGAGTTGCTGGGAAATTGAGGTATGGCAAGCGCCATACCTTGCCATATGGGAAGCTCCGCCCCTGCCAACGGGGTAGAGCTAAAGCAAGTTTGAAAGAGGTGCGTTTATCACGTGGGTGTGTAGATATATTTTATCGTGAGTACGTGAATATGGTAAAAATTTAGCTATAGTTATTGTTTTTTTTTTGTCGGTGCCGCATCCACAAGTCATTATATATAGCAAACAAACACCTGGGGAACCGCGCTTTATTTGCCAGCGCTAGCCGAACAAAACGACTGGGCCCATTCAGGCAAAGGCCCTCAACGGATGTTACCTGCCCATCCGTTCCAAAATATCTATTATTTTTCTTTTCAAGAAACAACTTGACAAAATATATATTAAAAAATATTAATATTTATGGTATATAATTAATATCATTAAAAAGATCTTTGAATCTAGTTTTTTAATAAATTTATTTAGATATACAGATGTTGCATGTATTTTCTACAAATCAAATCAAACTTTGGACAAAAAAACTGGAAGGGACAGATAATTTGGGACAGGAGAGTAGGCCGATATCACTAGGCGAGGGTAGGCCCGTTTAATCGACCTGTGAAATTCCTGCCATGCGTTACAAACGGCGAGCGGGCAGAAGAAAAATAAAAAAAGGGTTTTAAGAATCGATGGGCTCTGTCATATTGAGCTGGTATATGAAGATTCAAATAAAATTACATTCAGCAATGAACAGCAATCCAAGTTGTCAGCACAGAAGTTTGCCACGACAAAAACGTGCACCGGAATCTGCTGAAATAAACCGCAACGAGATTCAAATATCATCAGAAATTAACAAGCAGCAGTTATCGTCACATGATCTTGCGTTGTGTCATTTGGTCTTTGCTTGCTTCGACAAAACTCTCGTAGAAATTCAGAAACAAGGCTGACACTGCAGAGTGGCATTCCAACTACTGTTATTTGTGCTCTTTAATTTCCTTAATGATACCGTCAGCAAGGGAATCTGTATCATAGTTCTTGCCATAAAACTTGACAAACTTCATCTCTGGGTTCATCAGGTACCTGAAAAAATGAGGAACCAATCAGTCAGTGTTTTGACAGAACATATTTGTATTTAATCTATCATAATGATAGCACATAGCAGTAACATCAATGAGTTCAAGCAGGATAAAACTACAAGCCAGCATGTAAAAGCATGTAATTCACAGTATCCAATATCACAAAATTTCCTACTAGATACTCACTGGAGCCTCGCAAGATAATATTCAGAATTGGTTAAAAAAACAATAGCCAAATTAGCGGGTTTCTTCATTTTAGTTTGCATGCTGTAGGTATGCCATATCTTAAAATAATAAAATGACTTGAACTAGACCATCCCAATTGCAGAACATTATCAAAATCAAAATTAGCTAATGCCCAAAGCCGTTGTACAAGATGGAGGAGATTAGAAATAGCATACATGACAATTGAGTGATCAACAAGGTAGTCAGAACCCTCCTCCTCTGTCTTCATATAGTAAACTCGGTAAGCACGTGCAACTTGTCTTACTTCATCTGTCGTGCCCGTGAGTCCTATCAGATCTGGATGGAACTCTGTGAATCACAAATAGTTCATCAGCAATGAGCAATCAAAAGAATAAGATACTGCACAATAATAAGAGATCAAAGGGCTACAATATTGAATGATTACAAGCATTAAGAACTAAGGGACAATTGCAAGCACACACCTTTAACATAGTCCCGAACCTGCTCAACAGTATCTCTTTCAGGATCAACTGTAATGAAAACTGGCACAACATCCAGTTTTGCCTTTTCCTCTGCATATAAGAACATATTATAATGACTGAAAAAATATGCTTAACTTAAACTGTCTACTAGGTCCACTTGGGCGCTTCAGTGGAAATTTTCACCAAGTCCAGTCAAACAAAAATACATAACCTTATATGCAGCGACGGAGCACGGCACAAAATCAAGGGGGGGCCAACTTGATAAAAACAAAGTGAAATATGTTGACATCAGAAATAAAACCATATATCAAGTGATAAATTTAACTAATCACATATCAAGTGACTACAGAGACTGTCAGACTACTCTTAACCAAGTTATGGACTAAAACTAACTAGTTATATATATTTATAGTTGGACCACATTTCACAAAATGCAAGTGACCACAAACTATATTTGAGAATTTTGTTTTGGACGAGGGGGGGCCGGAGCCCAGTTTGGCCCCCACTGTGCTCCGTCCGTGCTTATATGTACATCTCATTTTGGCTTGCCCATTTACCCAATTATTTGCGTACAATAATATGCCTTCTAGTTTCTAAGTGACAATATAATGCATATTATTGATAGACAATAAGCAGACAACAGGATCTATGAGGATTCTTATATCCAAGGATCAAAAGAATCAAATTGACTTACTAATTTTGTCAATCGCTGCAGCCATTTTCTGGAGTTCATCTGGGCAAATGTCAGGACAGTGTGTAAATCCAAAATAAAACAGAGTCCATTTGCCCATGAAATCCTTTTCAGTAACAGGTTTTCCATCATGATTCAGAAGCTTGAATGGGCCACCAATGGCTGCAGTGCCTACTGATTGCCCAGGCTTCACAGCACTTGTTCTATTCTTCAATTCTGGGTAAGATGGAAGAGAAAAAAAAATGACAAGATAAACAGCTATCAGAATTCAAGGAGCTAATACCTTCCTACTTCAGATAAATACTTCCAAAAGACACGTGTCCATTTGAAAAAAAAAATAGGGAAAGGTTTGAAATGTTCGCTAAAATAGTAAATGGCCATCTGTTTCTGAACCAGAGGGTAATGATTTTGTCATAGTGCAATGGTGTCAAAACAAAAATATAGTTTACAATATAAGATACAATTGGCACAAAGTCTTCTGACAATGGTTCCACCGTCCCTATAATGGTTTCTGGCTTTTTGCTGATGTCATTAGGAAGCATGGAAAGAGGAACAGACACCTTTATATTGTTTGTTTAACAGGCTTAGTTTTCTGTTCAACTTTTTTATAACTGCTTAAAAGCTATGCATATGTATTTACAGAAAAGCTAACAATAGTACGAAAATGCAAGCAGTGGTTACAAATGAAAATGCACACGAATCATTGCTAACCTATTTTTCTCATTAGTGTAGACTGTGGCCAAATTTGTTGTTAAAAGGCAAGCCATGTAAGGCAGGGCAAGCTTAGGCAACTGGCTGAGTTATGGTTCTCCATTTTGCATACAGCAATGAAGAAAGAATTGATGATTGTCAAGGAACGTATGAAACATAGAGTGGTCCTTAGCTTGCTCAATCATGGAGGTCACAAATGCAGTAAGGTGTCTCCTGCTTTAATGATTTCATTCATTGATAGTAACCATCTTTTTCAACAAAACTAAAGGGCGTACCCAGTGCAGAGAGCTCCCGCTCTGTGCGGGGTCTGGGGTGTGTAATGCGAGGAGACCGCGACTCGAACCCGGGACCTTCTAGTCACAGACGGTAAGACTCTACCGCTTGCACCAGGCCCGCCCTTCCTTTTTCAACAAAACTAAAAAGAGAATTTTAAGAGATGTATATGATCAACAGAGATTTTATGGAAGGGAGTTTCTAGCAAATCACCAATACAACTCCCCCAATAGAGTTGTATATTGGGGTGCACCGATATTGTCTTCTACATTTATTGGGGAGATGCTTTTGCAAATCACTAATACGGTAATTGGGGAATGGGGGAGCTATTGGGAAAGGTCCATCTTTCCCTCTATTTGAGGGGAGTTAGCGCGAAATATTAGTGGTCACCATTAAAAAGGGATGCGAAGGGGGATCTGTTGGAGCAAGAGGGAAAAACTCAACTCCCCCAATACATTTTTTTTAAGGAAAGGGGATCTGCTGGAGATGCTTTTATATGAAAACGCTGAGAGACAATGCTAGACATGAAAAGTAGGTTCTTGAAGAATAGATAAAAGCTCTAAAATTCCTAGTTCAGCACTCATAATAAGTGGACATAACAATAAA